CACCACATCAAATTCAGAACCTTTTTGTCACCCCAGAGAGAAACCCTGGCCCATTCGCTGTCACTCCCCATCCCTCCCTGCAGTCCCAGTCCTCAGCAGCCACTGTCTGCTCTCTGTCTCTCTCGATTTGCCTCATCTGGACGTTTCATAGAAATGGAATCAGATAGTTGGCCTGTTGTGTCTGGCTTCTCTCACTCAGCGTGAGTAGGAATGTCAGTCATGTTGCAGCCTGTCCGGACCTCTTTTTATAGCAGGTATCTTACATGGCCATCTTTAACCTCTTGAAGTTAAACTCGAAGATTATATAACCTGCCTGCACACATAATTTAAAAATTCAAAATAATATTCTAAACGTAATAAAACAAATAAAGAGAAGTTGTTGAAGTAAAATAATGTGCATCTTAATGTGTGCCCACGTCGACTGTTGAAGACATGAAAGGTTCAGGTGCCTGCCCCGCGTGTCAGACAGGACCCAGACAGCTGCTCAGGGAGGGACGGGCTCAGGGCTCAGGGAGGGACAGGCTCAGGGAGGGACGGGCTCAGGGAGGGACAGGCTCAGGGCTCAGGGAGGGACGGGCTCAGGGAGGGACAGGCTCAGGGAGGGACAGGCTCAGGGCTCAGGGAGGGACAGGCTCAGGGCTCAGGGAGGGACTGGCTCAGGGAGGGACGGGCTCAGGGAGGGACAGGCTCAGGGCTCAGGGAGGGACGGGCTCAGGGGGGGACGGGCTCAGGAAGGTGCCTGGCGTTGGGCGCAGACACCACGGATGGCGTTGCCTCTGGTGACATGCGTTTCCATCCTGGGAAACAGCCCTGCTTTGGGCTTCCCCTTGGTTTATGTGGTGGTGACATCCTTGGGAAGCTGCGTGCAGAACTCTGTAGAGAAAGTACTTTCCATTTCCAAGTAAAAATACAGTCAGGTTCTCACAGATCATGGCGGACAGGCTTTTCGTCCACAGGAGCTACCGGCAGAGCGTTGCCAGTCTGTTGCAGAGGAGAGGAGGGTCTGATGGCCCAGGGCTGACCCTGTGCATTGTGGGACAATGTGAGTCCCTGGGCTCTCCGAGCACTAAATTCTAGTCATTGCGACAACCCCCCAAACATTG